TCTCCTCTCTCTCTCCCCCCCTATGGGGCCACCCTCTTGGGTTTGTTAGGGGCGTCCTGCTGGGCATTTGGGGGTTGGGACTATGTTTAGGTCCTTCCTTCGCCTCTTGCGCTTCCGCAGTCCGCACCCGGGGCGTCAGAGAACCGCCTCCATCCAGAGTTCGACTCGCGCCCGGGACCTGCGCGCATGTCTTCGGGGAGTCGGGTGGAGAAGGTTCCACTGGGTTCCCTTCTTGCCCCCAAGCCACGCTGCGTAGGAGACTCGGTGCCATCCGGAGCCCTACTTTGGTTGGGAGAAGCGGAAGGCGAGTTGCAGGCTCTCCTTCCAGGGCCGCAGCTCGGTGCAGAGCCTGGGAGCCGGGTGAGGATGCCGCTTGCCGCTGCACGTGGAAGCCACAGCTCCGCACCCAGGGCGCGGCTTTTGCTCGCGGCCGGCGGCCTTCGCGCCCAGACCCTGGCAGGGACAAAGAAACGCGCTGCCCAGGGCGGCCTGGGGCAGGGACCGGCTGGGTCGCTCTCTGTGCCCCGTCCACCGCTGGCGCCCGGCTCGCGAGCGCGGAGTCCCCAAAACTCGCACTCCCCCGGCCGCGGGCCCCGACTCTCTCCCCTGCTCCTCTTTGTTCACATTGTCTTAGAAATGGCCCGACTCTCGGGTCAAGATGGTGAAAGTTGCTGAGACTTGAGCGCAGCTCCAGAAGGCGTGGAGTGAGAAGCCGAGACTGGAGCCCCGCGGTGGGGAAGCGGATGAAAGACTTTTTATGGGGGGGAAGTTGGGTCCGCCAAAGGCTGGAGGGGAAGCCCGGGAGCTGGCCCTACACCGAACCCAAGGGTTTCGCCAAAGATAAAAGGCAACAATGAATTTGCAGATTTCCGGGGTGCCTGAGACCTGGAGCAACCTGCCCTTGCCCTGGGGTGGAAGACATGCTCCCGCAGGGGCAGGAGGGAGGAGAGAGGAGCGAGCCCGGTGACCCACCCCTGTCCACTCCCACACCTCTTTGCCGCAGTCCGGGGTCATTGGGTGTCCGGGCACTGACTCAGTGCCTCTTGCTTACAAGTTTACAAAGCAGAAGAGCCCTCCCAGTGGTATTTACAGCAGTCTCATCCGCGATGGTACAGAGCAGGCTGTAACGTTAGCTGTTCGGTGGCAGATACAAGAAGCAGAGAGGAAGTGACACTTCTCATAAACCTCTAGAGTAGCTCGCTTTAATCACCCCAAGGCAGCCCCCGACCCTGCGATGAGCAGAGGCGTTCCTAGACCGCTTGGGTACAAAGCGCCAGGTTGGTTACTTTTAAAAACACTGATGTAAGAGAGGAAGAATGGAGACGGGGAGGCTCTTGGTAAGGAAGGAGAACAGCGCGCAGACATTTCCACGGAGGACAGGACTGGGACCGTTTCCACCAGCTATCTCCCAACCACGTTCTTTGGGTCTGAATTTAGCTTATCCAATGAGCAAAGGCCATTTCCCCCTCTCAGTCCTGCAGCATCCTGTTACTTTAAAAGCGATGCAGCAGTGGGAAAGAACGAAGTAGCTGATGGAGCACTTTTTCCAGGTAGAAACGCAGCCTGCTCCCCCTATCTGTTTCCCACTGCAGTCAGTTTAGTCCCGGTTCATCTGCATCCCTAACTAAGGCTGCAAAGCAGCTTTCTTGTTTCCTTGCCCCTTTGCCTTGCCCATCAGGTTTCTCTGCTGCTTATGACTGGATCCCCCCCCATATAGCAATAGAAACAATAACCTTCCTTTCTCGCTGACCTCACCACGTTTCTCCAGACACTCACCCCACTCCCATGGCTGACATCCTCAAGGTTGCTTCGCAGCTCTACTATAGCCACAAATTCTTCCTACGTCCAGCTATGGGTATGTTTTACAAGTATTCTTCAATATTCTACAAGTATTCTTACAATAAGACAGCTTTCTAGAGGCACGTGGTATAATTACCTTAATAACACCAACCTTGGAAGACTGACAGGATAAAAGGAGAAAATGCATATAAAACAGGCACAGACAATAGGTACTCAAGACAGTTGCTGTCATTATAGTCTTCCTCATATGGTCCTCCAGATATATCTCCACACTCTAATCCCCAAGCTCTCTACCGCTCTTCTCCAGCTGCCTTAATCCCTCTTGTTTGTCATTTTTTCTCTTACCTGTGTTTTCTATCAAATTTGACGTGTCTTTTCTGCTATCAGTTTAGTACTTGGGCCCAGATGGGAATAAGTGAGGAGAGAAGACAAGGGGGCACCAAGAGTCCACAGATCTGTATCACACCATCCAACCCTCTACATACTCCCACTGTGGTTTCCCATACCCTCTTCATGGGCCGCCATGAGCTGCTGAGAGCACTGATTTAGATAAGGTACAGAGAGGTAACCTGTAAGCTATAAGTCTTCTACACATTCAAGGTGGCCAATTGTTCCATTCATTCATCTGCCCTGTTTTGTTCTTTAATCTGTGTCTCCTTTGGTGTTTTGTTTTTTTTTTTTAACTCCTCCCCCTACCTGTACCAAGCAGCACAGAATCTGTCCATTCCCTTCCCTTAATGAATGCATTACCAGGCCACAATCCTTCCCTCTCCATTTCCTCCATTCTCCCTTCCCATCCCCCAGCCCTTCAGTCCATTCAAGGCATGGGGTGGAGGAGGATAGTCTGTGAAGATAGTCTGTTCCCAGCCTGAGCTGGGCAAAGTTTGAGCTTGCTAGGGAATGGAACCATTGCAGCAAGCACTTACTGGCTGTTTCTAGTGCTGTAAGCTGTACTTTAACTGTTTAATCTCAAAACTGACTGTGGCATGAATACTATTTTGTCTCATTTTACTATTGAGGAAGCCATGGCTTATAAAGATTAAGTAACATGTCTATCACTACATTGCTAATAAATGATGAGGTAGAGTTTATACACCTCAGAGCCCCATTGTGCAACAGTGCCTTGTATTTTAAGGGACACCCCTTGTAGGCGTGGTGGTACAAACCTACAATTCCAGCACTCAGGAAGCTGAGGCTAGAGCATAGAAAGCTCAAAGCCAGCCTGGGCTACATAGCATGACCTGTCTCAAAAATAAACTGGCAAAGGATGATTCTACAAAATAAATGCACAGAAATAAATAACAAGTGTACTTGTTACAATGAGTTACAAACTCATTATTCTGTTATTCTGAGTGTATGTAAGCCACTTCACCAAATTATGAAGAACCCAGCAATAATACAGGGAAGAAAGATAAGAGAAGTAAGATCCCTAGAAAAAGAATTAACAAAAGAATGTGCAAGATCTATATGAAGAAATGTTTTAAAATCTCCTTATGGACACAAAATGAGACTGGAACAAATCAAAAGACATACAGAGCCGGGCATGGTGGCACACTCCTTTTAATCCCAGCACTCTGGAGGCAGAGGCAGGTGGATCTCTTACTATGCAGGCCAGGAGGCCAGCCTGGTCTACATAGTAAGTTCCAGGCCAGCTGAGGCAGCAGGGAGTCCCTGTCTCCAAAAAAAAAAAAAAAGACATACAGTATTTCTAGATAGAAAAAATTCTATTTTGGAAATATACAATCCTTTCTAGATTCATCTAAAACTGGCATGATTACATTAAAAACACCAGCAAGCTGTTTTATTAGATGCATTGATATGTATAAAAATTATATAGATACATAGAAAAATTAAATTTTTGACAAGAAAAACAAAAGACTAACTATACAATAATTTAATTTTAAATTTTTTAAACTCTGGCAAATAGGGGCTAGAGAAATGGCTCTGCATTGGCTGCTCTTCCAGAGGACCCAGGTTCGATTCCCAGCACCTACATAGCAGCTAACAACTGCCTGTAACTCCAGTTCAAGGAGACTCTGACACCCTCTTCTGACCTCCATAGGCTTTGCACGTACACATACATACATGCAGGCAAAACATTCATACACATAAACTTTTAAAAATTTATCTACCTGATGACTTTATATCCATGC